CCAGTCCTGCTCACCGACTACCAACCGCAGGTATTGGACGCCCTCCGCAGGAACGTCGCGTTGAACGGCTTTGATGCCATGGATGTCGAGGTCGCAGCTCTCGACTTCCGCGCGCCCGGCGACTGCCAGGCATTGTTGGCCCGTGGTCCGGTGGATTGGGTCATCGCCGCTGATGTGGTCTATGACGACCGGCTCTGGCATGATTTGCTCAGTACCTTTGCATTTCTTTGTCGTCTTGGCCGAGAGGATGAGGGCAGCTCGGCCGGCATAGCAGAGACGGCGGCGCTCCAAAACGGCGCAGCCAGTCCGGATTTGCAGCGTGACACCGACCCGAGAGAAGCGCCGCCCCAGCGCAGGCCGTGCCGTGTCCTCCTGGCGTGCGAGGCGCGGGCGCAGGATGCAGGGGTCCGTCTCGTGAGTTTGGCACGCGAGGCTGGCTTCCGGGTTGAAGGTCCCCTCGATTTGCCGTCCGAGGCCTTCCGCTGGGGCGTGGTCAGGGAGAGAAGGACCGGCAGCATCGAGGGACGCCCTGCCGACGTGGAGTTGGAGAGAGTGCGGCCGGAGGGACACGGGGTATTGGTGTTGACGCTCGCCGAGGTGAAATAGGAATGCGAGGCACGTCAGAGGTCGACAACATGCAAGATCAACCAGAGATAGTTGGTAGCAGGTGAATGTGATCATTTGTAAGGCCGCATCACTTCTCCTCCCAGGTAGCAGACCTATGCACATGTAATAGTGCAGCGGCGTCATGGAGATCTGCCGCGCATGTTTCCATCACCACTTGAGTCGCAGTCACATACAAGTCGATGAGCAGGGTTAGGCGTAGTGTGCCTCTTACTGAGACAATACCCAGCATCGAACAGTATGTTCGACCGAGGTTGCGTCCGCATTGAAGTTTGAAGCAGCATTTACACGTTTGGATACGATTTGTTCGGATCGAGTGCGTGGCACCTTTACCACACATTCGCCTCGGATTCACAAGGTTTGTGCTGTTTGTTGGCTGCTCTTCTTCCAGTGGAATCCCCGCAGTGTCGAGTAGCTGCGCAGTAGACGTATCATCTCCCCTCAGTGAACGCATCTCGGCACAACTGCTGATCAAGGCGCCAACTGAGCCGCTTGGCGGCAAGTGGGGACTGCAGTTGCCTATGCGCTGTGGCTCGCGCTTTCGTGAAACCACGTTTATCGCGTAATTGCCGCAATCTTTTTTCTGAGTTTGATCCCATGTCCCCCTCCTGAATTCGCGCAGACTCTACAAGTCAGTTGTGGCTGCTGCGGCTTTCCACAGAAGCATTGACAGGCCGTAGTGTATTTCAAAGTGCCTCTTGCCATTTGCCATGCGCGGCGCAGGTTCGGTGAGGCACCGACGCTTGTGTGTTAAGGTTGCGTGGTCAAACTTGAAGTTCTTCTTGGTGCACGCGCCCCCGCCCAATTAGTAGCTGTTCCATCGCGTCAGTATCGGAGCGCATCAGGAGCCATGCCGATGGGTCAGGCAAGACAGGGAAGTCGGGGAAGTAGAGAGAGGGGACGGTGAGTGATCATGGAGCCCCAAGCGTTAACTCGGGCCTGTCCCTCTACAGGAGAAATCTTCAAAATAGTTAAACAATATTTTGGGGACGATTCTCTGACTATGTTTGACAATTTTGGAATATTTGTTGACTTTTGGTTCGTCCAAAATCCGCCTGTAGGGGGACATGGCCGACCTAACCCAAGCGCACTGACACCACTCTGCTGAAGGGCGGGGCCTGGCACTCCTGCGGGCCAGCCAGAGGTGGCGCGCGGCCCGCCGCGTCCTGCGCCCGCTTGTGCGCGCGTTCGGACTCAGCCGATGCCGCCTGAGCTGCCTCGATGCGCCCGTCTTGATACGCAATACGTGCCGTGCTCAAGACGTCCGTGTCAATACGCTGCGTGTTGGCTCAGCGCATTGGCCCACGTTTTGGTGAACCTACCGCGTCATACCCGCGTGTTCAGTCTACGTGTTGAGCTGCGTGTCAGCACGCTACGTGTTGCGTGTTGCGCATTGGGGCAGCTAAGGATGCCGCACTGCAAAAGCGGTGAGCCCGCTCTGGAAAAATAGCATTTTCGGAGCGCCGTGGTGACCGTATAGCTATCGTTGTTTTGTATGGGTCGGTCAGATCAGGCTCCCAGTTCTACCCAGGCAGGCAAGTGAAGCAAAGATGTGTCGGGGCAGCGGCACACGTGCAGCACACTTCAGAACAGCTACCAAAGTGCACGGGTCGCTCGCCCTATTCCTGCTTCCGCTCCTCATCATCATCTTGACCATCCGTCACCCCATCCTCTGCCCCTACACCACCCACGCTCCAGAAAGCCTCGTCCCCTCCAAGAGGCCCGACCCCCCCCCCGCCCCCATCTAGGGGGCCACATGCGAACGCTCCCCCTACCCCCCACGATTTCTGAGGGGGAGGGTGGGGTTCACTTCGCTCGGGAGTACTATGCTCTGGCGCAATACATTTGCGATACAACGGCCCCAGATCTATTACACCACCCCCTCTCGGCTGCACCCCCTTCGGGGTCACCCAGAATTGTAGGGAGGGGGCACCGAGCTCGAGCGAGCAAGCGCGGACTGCACCAGGGCGGAGCAGACACGACGGACCCGGGGCGGGGGAGCAGGTGCTCCCCCAGCCGGTGCCGCGGAGCCCGGGCCCGGCCCCCAGAGGCCCAAACGCCGGTCGAGCGAACTGCCGCGGGGCCCGGGGGCTCTGCTCCTGCCGGCGGCGCGCACGGGGGCGTGCTGTGACGAGGCGCTGTCGCAGAAGCCCGGGTCAAGAAGGCAGCCCAACGCTCACACTTTGCGCTGCGCTTACAAACATGCGACCTGCACAGGTCCCACTACTCACCGCGTGCGACGTTTTGCTTCTAGGGCCCAACACATGCAAGCGCATACACCTATATGCTGGGTGAGAGGGGGAGTAGAAGAGAGCGAGAGGGAGGGAAAGAGAGAGAGAGAGAGATCCCGACACACATGCGTTGTCCCACTCTTTTTTGTCACACCGTGCAGAGGTCCACACCTTGTTTGAGGACTGCGTTGCGCTCGATGAATTCCGTGGGTACGCAGATGTCGCCAGACTCGTTCTGGTGACACGTTGCTGACCTCCCGCTTGTACGTAAATAGCCGAAAGGCTGTGACTCTTTGGCCGCCTCGATCTGCTCGAGCCGCTGGATTCCTGTGGGGAGGCGTAAGCCATGGGCCAGTCTCAGCTGGTGGGCCAACTCGCGGGCAGGCTGCTGGGTGCACCCTCCGAGCTGCCAGCCCTGGAGGATGTGACCCAGATCGCCCCGGGCGTCCTGCGCGTGCTGGGGCAGAACCCAGGAGCCCGCGGGGCTCTTGTCGGCGGAAAGGTGGGGAATACCGCGAGGGCTGGGTGCTCGGCAGCACGCCCGGGGGGAAGTGAGGGGGGGCAGACCTTCTCGGAAGGAAGGCGGTGGGGCTTCTCGGGAGCACTCCAGCCTCCCGAGAGAAGCCGTCGCTGCTTTCTGAGAAGGCCGACTAACTACACCTCTTAGAGGGCCTGAGGCCTTCCGGGCCTTCTGAGAAGGCCCGCCTCTCTGCATTCCCTTGGCTCGAGGCCCAGATGTATACACCACGGCGATTTGCCAACCAGGGAGCCAAAGAGTTTGCGGAATGAATTCGGTGCATAGGCGCGCCAGCATTCCACAGGTTGGGCAGATCGGGCGCCTGATCACCAGGTTCCTTGGCTGACAAGACGACGTGGTGCACAACTAAGTCGAGCTCTTTCCCGGATCGGAAGATGGGAGGGATGCGAGTACTGCTGCACATACACAGCTGGTTTCGGCCCCGCCGCCAGGAGTGCTTCATTGATACACAGGCGCGGGAAACAAGCTGCGTGACCTGATTCGCTATCCCTCCGCCTGTATTACGAAGTCGGGCGTGTCCCTCTACAGGTCTACAGGAGGAACAGCCAAAAACAATGAAAGAAAACAATACTCTGGGGACGATTTGTTTGTCAATGTTTGACCATTGCGGCGTATGTTTTGACTATTTATCGTTTGTCGTCCAAAATCCGCCTGTAGGGGGACATGCCCGACTTAACGTATTATCCCCCCCTCTCGGTTCGCCCCGAGGGGGTCGAGGCTCGGGGCTCTCGGATGCCATCGTCTGCGCGCACGCGCCAATTTCGTCGCGTCGCAAACGAAGCATCGCGACTTCACTTTCGGTCTCCAGGGCGCCAACGCGCGATTCAGGATGAAGGGCTTGTCCCAGGGAAGGGGTCGAGACCTCCGTGGACGCTGTGACAAAGAAGTCACGACGTCGGAGGTTCGGTGAAGGGGCCAGTCGGAAGACCCCACGTGTGCGCCGCCAATTCGAGAATAAAGGCGTTTGGATGGTTCGGGAAGCTCTCATTGCCACGGCTAGACTTTGCTCGAACAAACGGCTAAAGTGGATCCAACAGAGGGTTCGGGGATGGAGTTTGAGTGGATGTTGGAGGAGGGTCGAAGTCACTTACGGCCTTGAGCCCTTCACGTGCCTGCGGATGCCTCTGGATGCCTCCTCCGCGAACCTCTGCATAGGCCTCCAGAAATCCAGACCGTTGGCGCGAAGATGCAGTCCAGACGCTGAAAGAAGGAAGAACAACCACTGGTGGTCCGTGAGGGGCTCTGGCTTGGGGGCCGCTCCTGAGATCTAGCTCGGGAAACCTATCCGTGGCCTGTACAAAAAAAGCCCCCGGTCGTTCCTTCTTTCGCGTTCCTGCTGGTATCGCGGTGGCCGCAGCCGCGCTTCACGCCGCGCAGTCTGGGCCAGAGAGCTGCTCTCTTCTGCGGGGCCCGTGGCGGCGCGCGAGCGCGAAGATATCCGCGCCTCGTGGCGAATCGGCGCGAGGCGCGGGCCCAGATCTCCGGCTATGCACTGATGGTTGCTCCATCCTTGCGTTCTCCCTCGGTTTGGGCCGCGGGGGCCCTCCACTGGGCCCCCGGGGGACCATCAGAAATGGGCCTGGGGCGACGGACTACTCCTGGGGAAAGAGTCTGGACCTTTGGAGCCTCCCTAAAACACACACACACACACACACACACACACACACACACACACACACACACACACACACACACACACACACACACACACACACACACACACACACACACACACACACACACACACACACACACACACACACACACACACACACACACACACACACACACACACACACACACAAAAACACACAAAAACACACACAAAACACACAAAAACACACACACACACACACGTCGGCGGATGGGGGGGGAACGGAGGAGGGTGGAAACCGTGAGCAGACAAAGGGGGGGACCTAGGGCGACACCATCCCGCCGCTTCTCACTCACCGCCTCCTGGCTGGGGGAGGAGGAGGAAGAGCAGGAGGAGGAGGAGGCGGAGGAGGAGGAGGAAGAAGGGGGAGGAGAGGAGGAGGAGGAAGAGGAGGAGGAGGAGGAGGAGGTGGACGAGGAGGAGGAGAAGGAGGAGGAAGAAGAGTAGAGGGAGAAGGAGGAGGAAGAAGAAGACGAGGAAGAGGAATGCTGATGCTGATGCTGCTAATGATGATGGTGACGACGATGCTGATGATGACGATGATGAGGATGAAGATGAAGATGAATGTGTAGATGATGATGATGATGATGATGATGATGATGATGATGATGATGATGATGATGATGATGATGATGATGATGATTGATGATTGATGATTGATGATTGATGATGATGATGATGATGATGATGATGATGATGATGATGATGATGATGATGATGATGATGATGATGATGACAGCGATGACGATACCCTTGGTAACGATGACGACGATGTTGCGGATGATAAAAAATGTTGACGATGCTGATAAAGATGACAAGGATGATGACTAAGAAGAAGAGTAGGACGATGACGAGGAGGACAATGATACTTACGATGATGAAGATGACGATGCTGATGATGAATATGATGATGATGATGCTGATGATGATGATTATGACAATGATGACCGATGAGTAGGAGGAGGACGATGATGAGGATGTGGATTCGGATGATGAACATGATGATGATGATATCATCATGGTGATCATGATGGTGATGATGCTGCTGCTGATGATGAGGTCGATGATAATGATTATCAGGAGGTGGAGGACAGTGAGGATGAGGATGATGGTGATGATGATGATCAGGATAAGGATGATGACGATGCCGACGATGGTGAAGATTATGATGATGATGATGATGATGATGATGATGCTGGCCATGCTGACGGTGCCGGCGATGATAACGATGTTGACGATAACTATGATGACGGGGAAGATGAGGATGAGGATGAGGATTGGGATGATGATCATGTTACTGAATCTAGATGTCGATGATGGTGATGATGAGTATGGTGATGATGATGAAGGTGAAGCTGATGCTGATGATGATGCTAATGTCGACGACGATGATGATGCTGATGACGATGCTGCGGCTGACGATAATGGTCATGGTGATGATGATGATGCTGCTGATGCGTATGATTATGATGATGATGATGATGATGATGATGATGATGATGATGATGATGATGATGATTATGCTGAGGATGATAATGATAATGGTGGTGGTGCTGCTGCTGCTGATGATGATTACGATGGTGGTGATGATGATTGATAACTGATGATGTTGATGATTGTTGAGGAGTTCATGGTGATTGATGCTGCTGGTGATGATGATGTTGATGATGATGATGATGATGCTGATGCTGATGCTGATGCTGATGCTGATGATCATGATGGGGAAGAAGAAGAGGAGGAGGAAGAGGAGGAGGAGGAGGAGCAGGAGGAGCAGGATGAGGAGGAGGATGGACAAGGAGGAGGAGAACGAGGAGGCGGAGGAGGAGGAGGAGGAGGAAGAGGGAGAAGGGCGAGCTGGACCTCCCGGTGGAGGACCCGCCACGCTGCAGGGGACCAACACCTACGTCGTGGGAACGGGCGCCCGACGGGCGTTAGTGGACACCTCCGACGGGAACGGCCGATGGTGGAGAACCCTTAAGCGCGTGCTGGAGCAGCAGGGCGCGAGAGTGAGCGACATCCTGCTGACCCACAGGCACTCCCCAGACATCCGACGTCTTGAAGAGGGATCCAGAAGGCGGGCCCTGAGAACCTGGCGTCGCAACTTGGCCACGCCGGGCAATTCCGCCCCATTGCGGGCCCCGGGACCCTCACGGATCGATCCGGCTCGAGAAATGCCATCGAATGATTGGGCTTAGGGCTGGTCGGGATTCCTCACGATGCTGCAAGGGGATGGCCTCCCAGGGGACCGCCCTCCGGGCCGTCCAAGGAACATATTGATCCGGGGCGAACTGCAGGCGGCCCGTCGGGAAAGGCGCGTCGGACGTCTGACAGCATCAGGGCGTCGGATGTTTGCCCCCCCCCGCCCCCCCCTCCCTCCGTGCGGAAAGACAGGGCTCTGCAGGGCAGGTGCAACGTTAGGGGGGGATGGGCTCCGGAGGGGGTGCATCGACCCCCAGTGGCATTCATCGCCGATCGGGGGCCTGATAACCCACCCGGCCCAGACACGACTGAATTCGCTGTGGGGCGCACGTCGCTAATCTACCTTCGATGTATCGCCGATTCCAGCTCGATGCTCCCCCGCCCCCCTCTGAGGAGCTGCCTCCCCCTCCCAGCTTGCCCCTCACGCATGGGCCCATAAGCTTACTTAGCTGCCTCGATACGCCCGGTTTGATACGCAACACATGCCGGGCTCAAAACGTCCGTGCCAATACGCTGCGTGTCGGCTCAACGTGTTGGCCCATGTCTGGGCGAACGTATAGCTTCAGACCCACGTTTCAGTCTACGTGTTGAGCTCCGTATCCATACGCTACGTGTTGCGTGTTGCGTATCGGGGCAGCTAAGCCCATGAGCGTTCCCGGAACACTGTCAGAGCGTTCGGGAGCGCTCTGGAACGGCCGCGTTGCCCCGACTCAAGCTGACAAGCTGGTCCGGAGGAAAGCAGCCGGGGACCAGGGCCCGTTTCCCGCAGGACCCGTCTGCTTCACGCGAAGACACAGTCTGCAGACCCGTCGGGTCTCAGAGATTCTCGATGCATCCTCATCCGGAATTGTCTTCATCCTGCCATCGTCTGGCTACCTCCTCCTCCTCCTCCTCCTCCTCCTCCTCCTCCTCGCCCTCCCCCTGGCCCTCGTCTGCCTGGCCGCCGCCCCCCTGGCGGCCTGGACTGACCACGAAACTGGGCCGTGGTGCCCCTCTGGCTGTCGGTCGCGGCCACACCCGGCGATCTCGTCCTCGGGCCCCCGTGGAACGACCCGGGCCGAGGCATGCCGCAGAAAGATGATGTCACCAGAGCTCTTGTCGTGACGTCCCCCCTGAGGTTGTATGGCTTCTCGAAGCGTCGGATCCCACATGCCCGCCGCGGCCGATGCCGCCCCGACGCCCCGCGGGCGTGCGGGGCGATCGTGAGGCCTTCAGCGAGGGGGCAGCGCCCGCCTCTCCGCGCGACGGGGGTGGCGGGGGGGGGCGCGTACGACCACGTCGGCGGCGTCGGCGCGGTCCGCGCCGCGTTTGGGCCCGTCAGGGTCTGGAGGGCGCCCAGCCCGGCGGCGCCCGCCGCAGGCCCCGAAGCGGCCTCCGGCCGCTTCGCGGCGCGCGCCGGCGGGAGCGCCGGCGGGCGGTGGCGGTGCGCGTGCTGCGGGCGCGACGGCGAGGTGCCCGCCGACAGCCTCGACCTGCGGGAGGGGTCGGCGGTGCGGGTCGGGGGCGCGTCGCTGAGGGCGATGCTGACCCCGGGGCACTCGTCGGACAGCGCGTGCTTCTCCCTGGAGGTGGGCGAGGAGGCCTCGCGGCTCGCGCGCCGCGCCGCGAAGGGGGCGGGGCCGAGGGGCGCTCGTCGGCCTGAGGGCGCCCCGTGCCTGCATCCCCGGAGAAGCCACCCAAGAAGCTTGTGAGAGGAGCTTGGACTCTTCAGCGAGTTCAGAGCAGAACCAGGGACCGCCGCCACCGAGAATCCATCGAGGGGGGGGGAGGCGACCCCCGGGTGGTGACACGCCCGAGCATCACCCAGCACAGGACGACCTTCAGGCGTGCCACCGCCCAGTGATCGCCCCCCTCTCCCGCTGTACTCTAGGTGGCGGTGTCATCTGTTCCTCCTTTGATTATATCTGTGAAAGCTGCCCCCGTACCTGGACCGTTTCGGAGACATGGGGCTCTATGGGGCCGTTTTTGGTAATCTCTTGGGCCGTCTTGCGGTTGTCTTGGGGCCGTTCTGTGGCCATCTTGGGCTGTATTGGCCCCGTCCTAGAGCGTCTTGGGGCAACCTTGGGGCGAAGACGCGCAGACAACATTGAAGCACGTTTGGGTGCATCTACCAGATCCTGCGCCGCCCGGGTCCCGCAGGGTCTCCTGGACCTTGCTGGGGGGCGTCTTGGGGGGCCCCTTGGGCCGTCTTGGGGTCATCTTGGGCCGTCTTGAGGCGGCTTGGGCCATGTCGGGGCATGCCGGGCCGCGCCGCGGCGGCCCCTGCCGCGCGGGGGGGGGGGGGGGGCTCGGAGGGGCAGAGGCCACGGGCCCGCCCGAGCCGCTGAGGCTGCCGCGATCCTCACCGGGGACACGCTGCTCGGCGGAACCTCCGCGGTCTGCGGGCGGGCCTGGGACGGGGATGCTGCACAGGTCGCGTGCGATGTGGCGCAGCCGGCCCGCTGAATACACGCTATTCCTTCTCTTGGGGGCAGCATGCACCGAAGAAGCCCTGGCGGGGAGGTGTCGTGCACAGAGAGGGCCCTCGCGGGGGGATCGCCTCACAGGGATAGCGTGCACGGAGGGAGTCTCCTCTCGGGGACAGCGTGAAGATCAGTGTTGTACGCTAGTACTATCTTTGCGACGCCAACACCTTTTCAGAGCGTTCCAGAATGCTTTCAGACCTTGACATCCAGGCGTTGCAATTTGTTCACGCTGGGCGTGTTTGCTTGGTTTCGGGCCCTGGGGTGGGGCCATCACAGATCGATCGGCCTCGGGAAATGCCGCAGACAGGTTGGGTCCGCGGCTACGGTCGTGATGTCTCTGGATGTTTTGGCTTCGCGACGTCAGATCTCAGGGAGGCGCTCTGGGACCGCCGCGGTGCCCTCCAGAACCGCCCGATCTCAGAGATTCCCGATTTGTCGAGGTCCGATGTTGTCCCGTTCCTGCCTCCGGCACCAGACATCCGCCAGTTTTTTTTTCAGCCCGCGGCCCCTGGGCCTCTGAGGTCCCGACCGCTTCCCCCGGGGGTACCTTTTCGCCCCAAGTCCATGTTCGACGGTCCTGGAACCCGAGAAAGGATCCCACAGGCCGCAGCCGAGCCCGGACCCCCGACGTCAAGATTTGTTCATGACGTCGACCCCCTCAGGTCTCGACCCATTCCCCGAGACCAGTTTTTTATCCAGAGTCGTTATTTGACGGTCCCGAGGGCAGGTAAGGGCCCCCAGAGGCCGAAAAAAGTTGCGCAAAACTTCCCGTCTTGATTATTTCATAACTCGAGGGGTTCTGGGAGGACAGACGCCGGGTCCGAAGAAGTCACATCGTCGGAGGTCTGGGTGTCTCCCTCTTTCCTCCTCCTCCTCCTCCTCCTCCTCCTCCTCCTCCTCCTTCCCTCCTCCTCCCCTCCCCCCCTCCTCCTCCCTCCTCCTCCTCCTCCTCCTCCTCCTCCTCCTCCTCCTCCTCCTCCTCCTCCTCCTCCTCCTCCTCCTCCTCCTCCCCCTCAGGTCTTTGACGACCTGCGCGCCTACCGGACGTCTCTGCAGAGGCTGCGAGGCTGCGTCCGGGAGCGCCCAGGCGGGGCGCTGCTGCTGCCGGGGCACGGGGCCGCCGTGCCCGCCGGGAGTGCGGGCGCCTACGTCTCCTCCGCCCTGGGCGCTCTGAGCCGCCGTGAGGTGGCGGTCCTCGAGGTAGATTCCCAGACCTCCAACGCATTGACAAAATCAAAACAGAGGTTTTTCTCAATTTCGGCCTCCAACGCATTGGAAAGAATCAAAACAGAGGTCCTGGAGGTAGATTCCCAGACCTCCAACGCATTGACACAATCAAAACAGAGGTTTTTCTCAATTCCGGCCTCTATAGCGGCCCTCGCCGGGCCCCGGGGCCGTCAAGAAACGATTCAGGATGAAAAACCTCGCCTGGGGAATGGGTCGAGACTTCCGGGGACCCCGCATTGAACAAATCACGACGTCGGATCCCTGGGTTATCAGACCTCACCTTCGGGGTTCGAGGTGTTCCCGGCTCCGGGAGTCCCTGAGGTCCTGCGCTTTGCAATTTGTTCACAGCGGGCGCGGGCGTTTTCGCCTTGTTGCGGGCCGCGGGCCCCTCACAGGCCGAGCCGGCTCGAAAAATGGCGGAGGAAGATACCCTCCAGCGCCCCGGTCGTGTTGTCTTTGCAATGTTGCAATTTGTTTTAAACGTCGGACCTCATGGGGTCTGGGAAATTCTCACACCTCGGGATGCTATCCTGCAGCCGCGCCTCGCCGAGAGCGTCCCTGGGGTACCAGAGTCGCCCTGGACGGCCGTCTGAGGCCTGAGTTCTGGCTTGGAAGCCCAGATTTCCGACGTTGTGAGTTGTTCAATCCAAGCCTTTTCGATCTCTTCCTCGGCCCCAGGATCATCCGAAATGGGCCCGAGACGCTCTGGGGAAGGCGTCGGGATTCCTGGGGCCGCTCATTGAAAAAACACATCAGCGGACGTCTGAGTTCGCGAGTTGTTCAAGCTTTTGCTTGGACCTCCTGGAGCGCCCCCGCCACGGCCAGATTCGTATCTCCTGGGCCCAGCGCGCCAAAGGGAGGGGGTGCCAGACCCTCAGCGTCTGGAGAAAATGAACACATGGAAGCTCCATGTCGAAGAACAGCGGGTCGTCGGAGGTCTGGGTTCGGTGGGGGTGGTCGCAGAGGGGCACTGGTGCTACGTCCCCGGCAGAAGCTGGCGGCGCGCACAAGTCGGCGACCACAATGGGTGTGGTCGCCGAAGGTTTCATGCGCCCTCGTCGGGGTGCAGAGATCTCTGTCGAGGTCTTCGCCCCCCCCCCCCCCCCCCCTCAGACGCGGGTTGCAAAGCACCCCCTTTGCACACCGCACCCCTCGGAGTCGCCGAACCCTGAGATCCTGGCGTTGCAATTGTGTCACAACGGGCATTTTCGCTCAATTTTCGGGCCCCGAGACCCTCACATATCGATCTGGCTCGAAAATGACGCAGAAAGATGGGGAGTCTGGGGCTCCTGGCGTGATTTGGTTTTTGCGATTTTGCATTTTTTGGGGCAACGCCGGATCCCAGGGAACATGCAGAGGAGGTGAAGCGAGGAGGGGCCTTCCCGAAGGCAGGGTGCTTCACAGGAGCCTTCTGGCATGCTGCAGGCTGCGAGGCATCGCGTCCCTCCCGGCAGCACCCAGTCCGACGCAGGAGTTCTCGCGCAAGCCGGCTCCCGAAGATCACGAGCCCTCTGAAGGGCCTTCTTCTCGTCTCGAGCCCTAGACCCCCTCGAGTTATGAAACAATCACGACGGCGTGTTTTTCAATACTTTTGGACTCTGGGGGGCCTTACTGGCCCTCGGGACCGTCAAACAACGATTCAGGACGAAAACTGGTGTTGGGGAATGGGTCCAGACCGCTGGGGGTCGACGTCATGAACAAATCATGACGTCGGGGGTTTGGGTCCAGACCGCTGGGGGTCGACGTCATGAACAAACCATGACGCCATGAACAAATCATGACCTTCTCATCCTCCTCCTCGAAGAGGAGGAGTAAGACGAAGAATACGGAAAAGAATAGGAAAACGAATAATATTACTACTACTAATAATAATAGTAATAATAATATTATTAATATTATTAATAATAATAATACTAATAATATTAATAACAATAATAATATTAATAATATTATTAATAATAATAATGATAATAATACTAATAATAATAATGTTAATAATAATACTAATAATAATAATAATAACAATAATAATAATAATATGAAAAAGACGAAAACGAGGTGGAGGTCGCCAGTGCTTCCCTGCGGTTGTCCCCCGGCGTTGCGGAGCGCGGATGATGGCTGCAGAGCTTCGGACGTGTGCGACGAGCTCTACGGCGCCGTCGCGGGCTCGATGGCGCTGGACATGGTGCAGCAGCACCTGGCCTCCGATCCCCTGGGAGCTGCCTCCTCCACAGGGCGCTCCACGGAGGGCCCAGCGGCAGGGCCCGCATGGCGGCGAGCACACCCTCCACAAGTGTGGTGGCCCCCATGGAGGGCTCCACCGAACGCCACAGCAGCAGGGCTCGCAGGGCGCACCCGCTCCCAATCGGCACGCCCCTCATGCGTTTCGTGGGCCCATAGGGGGCTCCACCGAGGGCTCTGGTGCCAGTGTCCGCATGGCGTGCCCGCCCCCACTGCGGCACACCCGTCGCACGCTTCGTGGCCCCAAGCTCACCGAAGGCCCAAGTGGCGGCGTTCGCATCCGATTGCTTCTCGACGGGTGCAGCTGAGGCGTTCCAGAAACCCTGAGACCCAGGCGTTGCAACTTTGTCGCACCAGGCATGTTCGCCAGGTGTCGGGCCCCGCTCGAAGTGTCTAGGCCCCCGGGGTCTAGGGCAGGTGAGGTCTAGGGCCTAGGGCTTCGGTCATGGTTTTCGCGATTTTGTGATTTCTCTCGCAGCGTCAGATCTCGGGGCTGTGTGCAACTAAGGCGCTCCAGAGATGGCCACGCCCTTCTTGCGGGAGGCGGCGGAGAACGCCAGCGGAAGGAGGACGGCGGCGGCTCCGCCGGCGGAAGCCGGCAGCAGGTCGGCGGAAGGGTGCGAGTGGAGGACGATGACTGCATTCCTACACCGATCCTGGCCTGGCCAATCCTAGGACCAGCACCTCATCGACACCCTGTACATAATGTTTGTGTCCCCTCCCAAAGGGTTAGGCGTACTTCTGTTGATAATCAGCATCGGCGGAGAAAAGGAGGTCTGGGGAACGGGCCGGCGGACCTGAGAGGGCCAGGGGGCGAGCGAGCACGCCTAATTAACCCAAGGCAGGCGGGTGCATGCACCGACCTCGGGCCCCCTCGGGGGGGCAAGTGTGGTAGCCTCCACTGGCCGATCCCGCTCGAGAAGCGTCAGCACATGGCCTTCCACACAAGAAGGACAACACATAAACATGAACTTTGTCGCTCCGCGCGGATTTCTGGGATTCGCGCTGGAGCGCGCCAGGGGCGGCGCCAGAGGTGCCGCTGGGGGGGCCCAGGCGCGGATGGTGGGCCCAGGCGCGGATCCCAGAAGTCCGCGAGGAGCGCCAAAAGTTTACACTTATGTGGTTCTTCTTCCATTCCAGGGCCTTGGCATATATCCTTGCCGCGCATCCTGCCGGTGCGCTCTGAGCGCAGGGCCTCCCGGGCGCGGCCCGGCGGCAGCCCGCGGGGGATCGGGGCGGACGACCTCGTGGCGTGCGGCCGGGCCACGCGGGCGCCCGCGCGGCTGCTCGGGGGCGCGGTGTACCGGGCGGCGGCCTGAGGCCCTGGGCGGACCAGGGGCAGCGCCAGGGGCGGTGGATTGGCTTTGAGTCGGGCATGTCCCTCTGCAGTTTTTTAAACAAAAAAAGACCTCTTTAACAAAGTAGCACAACAATAATATGAAAACTTTAGAACAAACATGTTCAGCGATTGCTTGTTATTGATTATCCTCACCTCTTTGACGCTTTTCTTTGTTAGAAAACAAAGCTGAACATGTTTGATGTGATTTGATTAGTTGTGTGACTACTTTGACGCTGCTCCAAAACCAACCTGTAGGAGCAGATGCCCGACCCCTCAGATTGGCTCGGGGGGCGTCGAACGCTCTCGGCGGTGCCGCGGAGGGCTTGTCGTCTGGCGCGGGAGGCGCCCGTCGCGACCGCGCCGCGCAGAGGGGCGCGGGGCAGGTGCGCCGCTCGGCCTCTAGGCGGCCGCTGGAGCGCCGAGCCCGGGCCCGACAGCCTCAGTGGAACGCTTCGACCCCCAGTCTCAGAGGAGGAACCGGTACCCATACTCCTCCTCCTCCTCCTCCTCCTCCTCCTCCTCCTCCTCCTCCTCCTCCGGGGGTGCAAGCTTCAGAGCGCCTGCGAGGGGGCTCCTGCGAACCCCACGGCAGAGTACCGCCGCTCGCTCCTGCGCCGATCCAGGAACCCTTACGCTGTGAAGGTCTCCCTGGGGGCGGCATCGCGCTCCCTGGTTCAGGAGGAGTGCGACGCCTTCTGGGAGCGTCTTCTGGACTGAAGGGGGGTGAGAGGCGGGTGGCACCCCGCTGCAGTGTGCCCGCCTCACCCCATTTACACCGATGGCGAGCTGGGGCGGGGACCGCCAGGCATCGTTCTTGCAGCAAGAAACACCTCTAAGTACCCCCTCGCCCGTTCTTTCCCCTTTTCGGGGCCTCCTGGGAGGCTCTCGTCGCCACCGCTGGATTCGCCTCGAAGTCCTGGTCGGAACGCAGCCCAGGAGAGGTCTGGGGAGTGATCAGCAGTATCGGTGCCCTTTGTTCTCCCCGCAATCGCTCGGGGGTGGACAGAGCCCCCCACCCTGACACGCCGATCCGCGAATTGTCCCTTATCGGTTCTCGTGGGGGCGCCGCGGCCGTCGCTTCCCAGGCCTGCGCCCGCCAGGCTTGGGCCCGCGTGTCGCTTCCACTGACCCGCGCTTTGCTCATAGAGGGGGTGCTGTCCATCCCCGAATCGCCCCCTCCTCGCCGAGGGGGGCCCGCCTTGGCCCACCCCGCCCCGGGGACGTGCGGCTTCGTCGTCGGGGGCCTGCTGCCGACGTGTCGGCCGGGCGTCCCCGGCGTCAGGCCCGTTAGGGGGCCACATGCGAGCCCTACCCCATACCCCCCACGATTTCTGAGGGGGGCAGGGTGGGGTTCACTTGGCTCGGGAGCTCCCGAACGAAGTGAACCCCACCCCCGCCTTCAGAAATCGTGGGGGGCAGGGGTGGGGTTCGCATGTGGCCCCCTGCCCGTGCCTCCCCTGTGCATGGGCCCGTGCCCGCGTGCCGTGCTCGCCCCCCACGGGGGGGCGGCGCCGGCTGCCCAGGTCCCCCGTGCATCGGGGCTCGAGGCAAGGGGGGGGGGTATCGAGGAGCGAGCTCCAGGGTTCGAGGGCCGCGGGTCTCGAGGCTTCGGAGGCTCGAAGCGAGGTTCCAGAGGAGCAAGGCTCGAGGCTGAAGGAACGAGGCTCGGGGATCGAGGTTCTGAGAACCGGGGGGGGATCGAGGTTCGAGGTTCCAGGCTCGAGGCTCGAGGCTCGAGGTTCGAGTGTCGAGGTGGGATCGAGGTCCAGGCTCGAGGTTCGAGGTTCGAGGTGGGAAGATCGAGGTTCTCGGATCGAGAAACAAGTCTTCACCACATGCGTTCCATCGCGTAGAGTCGCCTTTCTGGAAAGGAGGTAGGTTCTGCCCACCCCCCCAGACTTATCGATTCCCCGGGAACCGATGCAAAACACATATGATTATGACCCAATGTCCATCCGACCTGTGAATTCAGACTCTCCCAGCCAGGCCGGTATCGGTCCCCCCTCGGTCCCCTGGCAAAACATATTTGCGGTGACATTCGTGGTTCTAACATAGCTCTTGTCACGAATCCCTTGTACAAAAAAACATGCGGGGCACGCGCGCGCGGCCGCTGCGCGCGCATGTTGATTTCCTTCCAAGCACATGGTGTTTTCAACCATTTCAACATCCCGCTTCAAGAAAACCTATGAACACATACGATTTTCCCACCCAACAAGTATGAAACATCTGCCCGCGCGCCCTTGCCGAATATTTCAAACACCAATGGTTGGTGTTTCCACATTCCTAACAAATCGGGCGTCTTGGGCAACTTTTAAGCGCACGCCGATCTCATTCAACAACGGTCGCGCGCCTGGCAGGGCCACAAGCCCTTGTAACAAATACCATGTAGGGCACATGCGCGCGGCCGCCGCGCGCGCAGGTCGAAATCCTTCCAAACACATGGCATCACACGAATCGTACTATGCATCCTCGAACAGAATCGGCAAACTATTCAAAACAATTCAAAGCCAATGGGTTATCAACATTTCTGTCACGCGAGCAACTTATGCGCGCGCGTCGAACGCCTTCAACATCGGTCGCGCGCCTGCCAGGGCCGCAACCCCTTGTAAACAATACCATGCGGGGCACATGCGCACGGCCGCCGCGCGCGCAGGTCGAAATCCTTCCAAACACTGTGTTTTCAACAATTGCAAGGTCGAGCTCCATGACATCGCACGAATCGTACCATATTTCTTCGAACAAAAATCTGCAGACAAAAAATCAAAATGTCTACCCGCGCGCGCTTTCCGAACCCTAAGCATCCAACGGTTTCTCAATATTTCGGTCATGTGAACAACTTTTGCGCGCGCGTCGAACTTCTTTGACATCGGTCGCGCGCTTGCCAGGGCCACAATTCCCTTGTAAAAACACCACGCGAGGCACATGCGCACGGCCGCCGCGCGCGGATGCCGAAATCCTTCTCGTCGTCGTCGTCGTCGTCGTAGGCGCTGTCGTCGAAGTCGTCGGAGTCGTCGTCGGTGTCGTCGTAGTCGTCGTCAGCGTCGTCGTCGTCGTTGTCGCTGTCGTCGTCGGCGTCGGTGTCGTTCCCAAGTGCCATTTGGTACCCACCGTCACGGTCTTAAGAGGTCTTGCGACCAAGTTGCGGGTGGGAGGGTGGGATGTTTGCACAAGCAGTGGGGAGGACAGCTTCAAGAAAGGCAACGTGAATTGCACCACATAGATCGCACCGCACATGCTGCCCCACATCGATTGCATCACATCGACTGGACGACGTAGATTGCACCACCAATACTGCAGAACGCTGATAGCACATCGCAGATTACACCACACTTCTTGAACAACCCTTTTCTCCACCACGTGGAATGCACCACCTCGATTGATCCACATAGATTGCACAACATATATCCATAGGAACACATTCTTTGGGGCCCACGCTTTCCGCCATTCTTTCGTCTAGTGCACCTCCTCGCCCCTCGCCCAGCCCATCCTGCCGCCTCTCTTGACTGGGCCTCCCCAGGAGGAGGAGGAGGAGGAGGAGGAGGAGGAGCAGGAGGAGGAGGAGGAGGAGGAGGATGGGCCGGGCGAGGGGCGGTGACCGCAACGTGTGGTGAGTCGGTGGGGGTTCGGGGGCCGCGCGGTCTGGGGACCTTTGAGCCGTTCTCCCGAGGACGTCTCGGTGCACGAGGGGGCCTCCAGAGCGGTGCGGTGACGGAGGCGCGGTGATGTTTCTGGGGATGTCTACGTCACGCCGCGACCCGTCGCCGCACCCTTTCGGGACCCCCAAGACCCAGGTTCCCGCCCCTCCTGCTTCTCCTCGTCGTCGTCCTTGCCTTCCTCGCGCCTCCTGCGGCCTGGACGTCCAGCCTCCTGCCTGCAACGTCCTACATCCTGCCAGGGAGCCGGATGCACATGGCACGGCCGGCATAGGCGAGATTTGGGCACACACGCGGCATGTGGCCCGACCTCTGTCCAGCTCTCGGCCCTTCATGGCCGTGTAAGAAGGCTTGTCTTCCGTGTGGATGTCCAGCACGTGGCCTCCAGATGCCCCACAGGTGGATCCAGCCACGTGTGCATGCGTTCAGTTTCCTGGTACGTTTTGGTGGATCTCCTCCTTCTGCCACCCGCATCCAGCCTCATACCTTCTGCCCCCTCTCAGTCTCCTGCTCCCTCGTGCCTCCAGACCCCTGCCTCCCCTTCGTTCCTGCCTCCCGCCTCCTCCTCCGTCATCCTCATCGAACCCCCTGCCTCGGGAGAGAGACCCGAGCTCGGGACGATCTCCCCTCCCGCTCTCTTGGTGCTGTCACCTCCCGACCCCTCCGAGGCGCCGCCTGCCTCCGGAGAGGGCCTCGCCTCCGGCGCGTCTCGCCCTCAGCGGGAACTCGGCACGAGGGCCCGCGGAGGCCCGCGGACGTGGAACGGCGGCGGGCCCGGCCCGCCAGCAGAGGGCGGCGGGGGCAAGGGCGGGCCGTCAACATGCGCTGGTTCGTCACTAGCAGGCGGGAGCCCAGTGGCAGAGTGCAGGGGGACGACACGGCGCGGCGACGAAAACGGCGGACGGCAGACGAACGACACGCGACAAGCGCGCGGGGCGGGGAGGGGAGAGGAGGGGGGGGGAGGGCAAAGGAGGCGCGCCGGCCCGTACCCGGACCAGCTGGTCTCAGCCCCAGCCGGCTGCGGCTGCGCGCAGCCCGGCGCCGTGCACACTGGCCACGCGCAAAAGGGGGTAGGGGGAGGGGGGAAGGCTTCTTAGAAGCACCCCCGCTTCTTAGAAGGCGCGGGCCTTCTTTGTAGATGCAAGGCCGGCGCCTTCTAAGAAGCAGCCTCTTTCTAAGAAGCCCTCCCCCCTCCCCCCCTACCCCCTTGTGCGCGCCGCCAAGCACAGCCCGAGTTGTCAGCACATTTGGGCTCAGGGCCTCTGGAGTTGGCGGATGCGTGTGTTGCCTCCTGCCTCCACCTCGTGAGGCCTCGGGCCTGCGCGCAGCCTCGCCTCCCCCCCCCGCAGGCAGCCCTGGCCGGCCTCCACGGGTACTCTCCGAGCAGCCCAGGGCGGCCGCAGCACCCCAGCCCTGGGAGGGGGGGGGGGGGCGCGCAGCCCGAAGCCGTACCACCTCCAACCGCCCGCGCTCCGCTTCCCGGACCCCTGCCCTCGTTCCCCACGTGGACCCCCAGAGGTCGCCGAACTCGGTCCCCAAAAAACTATCCGTACTCTGTTTTTTCATTGGATGGCGATCCACCCATTCCCCTTGGACCCAGGCGTCAGCTGGGCCATGCTTGGACGGTCTCGGGGGCCTCGGCTTCCCGGGAGCCGTGGTTGTCTGTCTCGCGACGCTCTGGTTGACCCACGAGGGGGTCCAGCTGCAATGGGGTGGTGCAATAGATTTGTGGGTTGCAATAGATTTGGGGCTTGCAATACACTCCGGGGCGCAAATGTATTGCTGGAGATTCGCATGTGATGCATTACTTGCAATACAATGCAATACAC